GTCAAAGTCTCAGAACTTTTGCACATTCAAGTAAGGAAGGGGCCAGTGGACGCATGGGGAAGTGTAGATCTTGCCGGTTGGTTTGGAATGCCTGGCCTGGTCTGGATCAAAAACCAAAGTAAGCCCTTGGACTGCCAAACCAAACCAAGTCCGGGACTGCAGTCACTGAGTCACTGTCTTCATYGGAATCAAAAATCAATGCCCGGTCATTATAGCTGTATTTGAGGCAACTTTCAGTCTAGATACCGCGATAATGATGAGCGGGTCTTCTATCTCGGTGAGGACGGTAGAAGCCGTGGGTGCAGGATAACACCTAGCGGTAATTCACACACAGACTTCTCAGAAGTGTCTTCCTGTCTTAGACTACCTAATTGTGATCACCCTTGTCGTTTTGTGCTTTCCATGCGTGCRCAGGTATTGTTCCACTACTGGGAAATGCAGGAAGGAGAGAYGAGTCCGAAGCTGTAGCTTAGTCAAATGCTGAAAAGAATCTTGACTTCGGATTTGCCAGTCTTTTAGCATGGCTAGACAGACAGCTCACTCAACCTCATCCTGGGTTTTCTAAACCTTTTTTTTCCCTGAATAAATCCTTTCTTGTGAAAGGCGTTAGGAGACCTTATTGTATTCTTTTGATCCCATCAGGATTCAACCTCATGTCTGTTTATTAGCAAAATTGTGTGTGTGTAGTAGTGTACCCTTCATCGTCACGAGGTTGGGTGGCCACAGMCTGTGCCAGTCCTACCACGTTTCTCCCTTCTAGAGCAGTTTATCAGATCAATTTCGTGTCATCTTTTCTTTCCGTGTTGTGATAGTCACAGCAGGCAATCTGTGGAGAGTACTCTTAGAGTGTGGGGCACACGGCGTGAGTGACGTGTACTGACTTCTATAACTTTATTCTTGTCAGTCCTCTTTGGAGAGATCMTTTTCCTTGAGACAAGCGATAGAAACAAATTGCCAGATTACGGAAAACTATGCAACACCGTGGCAACAATCTTCTTAGTGTGAGAAAGAGTGCTAGGCAGGTGTACGTGCTGGTATTACAGGACGAGATTAATGCTTGGTTCTCCAGCTATGTGGGGCTGAAGGTGTCAGTCTGACAGTACTCTACCGGTGCCCACACGCTTAGACGGTGGTTCTTTGCTTTGGGTTCTGATTCAAAATACTAAGGAAAACGTTCGGAGGATACTTCACACTGTGCAGTTATGGAAAGTAGTGAGTTTTTGACACCCAAACAAATATCCAAGGAACATGACAAGAAGCTAATGGATCATSCCCGCTTGGCTATTGAGGAGTTTGTAGCCAATACAAGAGGTTTTCTTGGCTTAGATTTCAAAAGCTGTTTTGATCGGGTTGTGGCTTCAATAGGTGACGATGCCATTGGTAGGAGGCCGGAGTTGTGGCTGCATATGCTGAGCGTAATAGCCGAACACATCGGCTCATGTAAGTACTTTGGCTTCGATTTTCCCTATATTGTAAAATCATGGCTGCCCCGTTCCAACATTCCGAATATATCGGTCATCGAGGGTTTTCTGAGGTCTCTTGCAAAAGCATTATCCTCAGGTGGTAACTCCATTGCTTCCCTTCAAAAAATCAGAATCATCTGTCTGGGTCACTTGGATCAACCTGCCCGTTTTTTGCGAATTCTCTCTGATTTTTTTCAGCAGCCCTACTGTGGGGTTAAATGCCTTGATATCACACTTGACAGTGCTGATAATGAGTGTGCTGCATTGATTCAAGGTATGATTTCCAATGCCCATTCATTAGAAAAGCTGGAATTCATGCCGCCTTTTGAGTGCGTGGGAAGTGAAGGTTTTGAAGACATGTATGTCAACATAGTCCACGCTCTGCTGGCTAGTGAGAGCCTACAGTCTTGCGAGCTGTGGTGGGTTCCGGAAAGGGTACTCACCACTTTAGCCAAAAKCCTTGCATCTATGGACATAGGCTTTGATGGTGGCGCTCCTGCAGAACCGTTGGTCACACCCCTGTAAATGAAAAGTGGGGTCCAAGGGCAGGGAGTGCGAAGAAGATCTCAACTCAAAGATGTGACCCTCTACACAYCAAAGCTTAGCCAGGATGCATCAGATGCCCTTGCAGCCATGCTGAMAACAAACAACACTCTTAAGAAACTGGAATTTTGTTTGAGTGAAAACAGTCTTCAAGACACTCTTGAGGCATGCATGAAAACGATTGTGAAAGGGTTGCGGAGTAACGTTTGTCTAGAAAAACTCGTTTTTTTAGGAATGGACAGGGTAACCGTTATGACATTCACATCTGAATTGAGGGCAGAGATGCTCTCTACCTTGGAGTCGAATAAGACACTTCAGGAGTTTACTTTAGATTGGAGATCTGACATAGTTATTGATCATAAGTTGTCAAAAAACAAGACTGAACGCCGGTTGCTGGAGGCTGGTGGAGGCTTGCTGGAGGCTGGTGGAGGCTTGGAACGCACTACTAGCAGCCACATCAGATGCTTTTTGGCGGGTGAACCTTATGTGGGTAAGTCGAGCTTGAAGGATTCGATTTGCCGTGGAACATTGGAGTACTGCATAGACAAGATGAAGCAGATGACACCTGGTGATCGGCCTGCCAAACCTCGAACGAAGGGCATTGAGATGGTCCATGTCGCATCGAAAGGGGTCAACATCCAGTTYTGGGACTTGGGGGGACAACCTGAGTACCACACCATCCACGATCTGTTCATGCCAACTCTAGGAGGGGACATGGCAGTTCCACCCATCTTCTTGCTTCTATTTAATCCGGTGATCGAATGTGAGCAAGTAAGCAGTGGCAACTCAAGTGGAGACAGCTCGGCARCTGYRGAAGTTGAGAAGAGACAGTGGGATRAACTTCTTCAACGACTGAGGTATTGGTTGAGATTCATCGCGACAAACTGCAAAGCCGAAAGAAAGCCTTGTGTGATTCCAGTATGCAATCCTCACTTGACTCAGAAACAAAAGTTGTCTGACTTGTACCCTCGTGCGGGTAAGGTGGTCCGCTGGATATCTGAGGAGTTTCAAGAGGCACTTGATATTGTGAATAAGGTAATCCTTATCGATGCCAGAAGGAATGGCGATGCAAAAAGGGTCAAGAAGTTCTTGTTCAGTAAGGCCAAGGATCTTCTTCACAACACCAATGTGCTGCAAATCATGGAGAGAGTGCAAACGTTGGTGGTGAAGTCCAGTGGATCAAGCATTCCGCTAATGACTTGGGCCCAGTTCCGTGGAATCTGCTGGCCATTGAGAATTGCAGGCCAGCATCAGGAGAGAAGTCTCAGCGAAGTACAATCGGGAACTTGTAAGACTACGCTGGATGGCAATCTCCTCCTGAAAGTCATGGCGAGCTATCTCCATGACATCGGGCAAGTTATTTGGTTTGAGCCGATGCCATTTGTAATTACGAATCCCCAGTGGTTCTGTTGCAGTTTCGTTGGTGAGCTCATCCCAACAGAATTTCATGCCAGTGGAGTCTTCAATGGGATCGCTGATGTGAAACTTTTAGAACGCGTGTTGTCAGAAGCTGTTTCTGGGAAATGCGAGGTTGGTGTGCAGGATGTAGTAGATCTGATGTTGAGAATGGAGCTTGCCYATAAGGTCTGTGACGATCCCGAGAGCAGACTGTTGATACCATCATGCCTTCCTGATCGTCAAGATGGGGACATGATTAGTTGGAAAGTGGACAGGAAAAATGGGCATGAACAGGAACTTCAAGGTCACTTTTCTGGATATCGGATTGAATGCAAATACAAGAAGAAGACAATGCTAACTGCAGGATTCTTCCATCGAATGCAGGTAAATTTTGTTCTGGTTCTTTTCTTTGTAATGCTCATAATGCTCGTTTTCCGTACTTTGTTGCGAGAAACTTCTCATTGTTTTTTTTTTTCCTTTCCCCAAAGCTTTTGACTACGTATTCCCCCGTACATCCTATCGTACGGCCGTACGAACGGTCGACGTACGGTCGACGTACGGTCGTTCGTACTAAGGCCGTAGTATACTGCGTCCCATGCCAAAAAAAAAGCAAAAAATAAAAATAAAAAATACGGGGTTATAGAGCACAGAAAGCTCTATGACCCCAAATTAAAAAAAAAAAATTATTGGCTTGTTCTTAGATTAAAAACAAAAAAAACATTAAGACGAGTGAAAAAGTCCAAAAAACCAAAAAAAAAATATTTAATTGATTGATTGGATGATTGTTTGATGGTGGTTTGGTTGTTGATTGATTGATTGATTGAAAATAAAAAATAAAAAAATGCGCGCAATAGCGCGCGTCCGTTTGAGGGACTGCGCACGGTCCCTCTGTTGATGTTTCTCTTTCTCTCCGCGCGCACGAGAGAGAGAGAGAGACCATGTGTGCGTGTGTGTGTGTATGTGTGTGTTTCTGTGTGCGTGTGCGTGTGCGTGTGCGTGTGTGTGTACGTCTCGGTGTGTGTGCATGTGTGTGTTCATGTGTGTGCGCGTGTGGGTGCGTGTGGGTGCGTGTGTGTGCGTGTGTGTGTGTGTGTGTGCGTGTGTGTGTGTGTGTGTGTGTGTGTGTGTGTGTGTGTG